GTAAAGATAGCTTTGGGACGGTAAAGTGAAGGTATCCAATTCTTGAATAGCAATTCGGATTTCATCATTATAATCAAAATTAGCATTAATGTACGGTTGATAGGTGTGATACTCCATTTCAGTAACGGAGGTGTCAAGTAATGGCTGTTCTGTCACGTTCAAAATGCTCATGTTAGATCAATTGAAATCCCAACGACTTTAAAAACTGACGATTATCAATCGTTAGACGACGTCTATAATTTGGACGAGGTGACGGTACGTTGGTTGGTGGAGTACTAACAGTAGAAAGCACCGAATGTGGAATATTGTATCTAATACCCATTACGTATTTTGCGCAAGTGTAAACGTATGGTAATGGTTTCGTTTCTAAAGTTTACAAGATCTTTGTTTTGATCAAGTACTTTAACAGTCAAAGTGTTGATCGTACTAACACTCACAGGAAAATAAATTATGTTTTGCGGTGCTTCCACTATTTTATACCCAGCCGGAACAGTTGGGAAAAATTGATGGATGATGTGACTGGGTTGTCCATTTCTGAAAGAACCTGCAGCTATGCTACACTTCATACAGAGTGCATTTACTTTTAATATTTCTATTGCGAAATCGGACTCATGCAGTATATTTTTTTGCAAAATTCAGGGTTCAAAGCCCAACATGCGACCAATAGTTTTTTTTGATGAAAAATCGCTGTCACAATTGGCTTGTAAAGTAACGGTGGATGTAGTTTTGTTGGCAGTAAGAGTAATTTGCAGCCCGAATGGAAGTTTTTGTTGTAAGGCGGTAGGAACCGATAGAAAGTTTAAACGATTGGCGATCACTGGCAATTGAAGATGTAGTATATACAAAAGTATTGTTGGAAGCATCAACATTAGGAATGACATTGAAGGATTCAAAATCACACAACCCAATTTCATACGCATCATCATCTGAAAGATAGATTGGAGGATTGAAGTCAGCTTGAAGCGTAGAAGAATTGTCAGAAAGGGTAAATGCCATCGATATGATGTATGCGTTGAAATGTAGACGATAATATTCATTGATTGAACCTTGCACTAGATTTATATAGGAAACGCAAGCACAGCTGACCACAATTATGTGAGTTGAATGATTGAATGGACTCATAATTGTATTCAATATCAGAGACATCATGATTGCTGCGAAAATAATGCACAGCTTCTCTGGGGGGACGTAAATTACCATATGAATCAAAGTATGTGACATGATTGTTGTTTTTTACATATGCAGTCCAGTGGGATACAACACCTGATGAATTATCTAAATTAATAATACCGCTTCTTCCACCTAGTAAGCCAACCATCGCTAGCTGTAAAATCAAGAGGCGATTCAGTCACTGGTAGATCCTCGCTTAGTCAAAATGCCTTTTCTTGCAAAATAGGTCCGGATACGGGAACCCCACGTTCCCGCTGTTGATTAAACCATAAATATAAACTCTGGTCTATTTTTTCGTGCTTTGCTGTTTTCATCGTTTTACGTTCTTTAGTTGGTGCTGCTAAAACACTGCACCATTTTCTAATTTTGTTGCGATTTTTTTTCCAGTCACCGACCTTGCTCACACCGACATCGTATTTTTGTGCAACTGTTTTTAATGATGCGCCACTGTCCAACATTTTTATCGCATTCAGTTTGTCTTCTAATGATATAACCACTTTCTTCCGTTTTGCAACACTCATTTTAATACATATGATAACGACTCAGTAACTACATTCAACATAAATATGCACACAGCCTATGAAGAACAAATATGTTAGTGCTAAACGCAGAACAACTTGCCAATAACCATCTAATAACTATACGAAGTCTGCGAGTGGCGATTTCAATCCGATGATACTCGAACCCGAATTCATTTCGTCGTTCGTCATTCCGAATAATCGGGAGGTCACGTAGGCATTGTTCCGGATAAAACGGCGCATTTAAAAACCGAATTTGTTCCGGATAAATCGGCATTCCGGTTAATCGAGATCCGGATAATCGGAAGTTTACTGTATATATAACTATACTCTGTGCAAATCTTAGGGTAGTACTTATATAACATCGAAGGTAGACAGATGGATCCAAAACTGGCCAAAGAACTAGTCAAAACCAGGAAAGCGGTTAAACAAAAGTATCTCACACTTAAATCAGATATTGCAGCAACGGAAAGGGAATTACAGCAACAGTTTAAGCCGATCTCAGAACCGTTGCAAAAACTCTTATCAAAAGTTGAAGGACCTAAACAAGAATTGCAGATCAAAGAAGAATAATCTACACCCCCATCAGTGACATCCACACCGAAGAAACGACCATCATTCAATAAAGAATTGTCAGAAAATTATACCAACGATATTTACCACCTGTCAACTACAGCTTTCTCAAGGATACATATTCAAACCTTCCGGAGCCAAATCGCAGTCAAGATGTATCTACCGTGGAAGAATTTACTCCAAATGCTACGGTGTTAGAGACAGAAAACCAGCAAATCAATGAAAGCGTGGCTCGAGAGTGGCGCAAGAATTACACCAACTAATTGAGTCATGAGTCAATTCGTGGGAACGAGCAACGAGCGCGAGTTTGATCGTTATCATGGATTAACACATGATATTGTTTCTGACAAGTTTCAACTCGGTAAAAGTCCGGTTACGCTAGACGGAGCAAATATCGCGGTGGAAAATGTAACATATCCTGGCACACCTGGATTATATGAACTGCTTTTCAAAAAAGAACCAATTGGTTATAAGCAGAGTGATCTAGATCAGTATATGGATATGCTACGTCGCACAAATGCATATCGCAGAAATTTTGAACCTAATACTCAAATATAATTCGACCATACTTACATCAGCATAACATTCTAAAGCAGCAGGGCATACTCAGATCTGGCTCCTTTGAGAAACCGCCACCTCCTAAGAGTTAGTTACGACGAACACACTCATTCAAACATACAGGTCAAGGAATGCTCCACTTATCAAATAAACCAATCGACTACATCTATTTTGATGATCCAAATGAATTGGTTGCTCGTTTACGTATGTTGTTATAATAATAAATAATAATAATGGACATCGTAACGAGATTATGTCTATAATTGAGGAGTTACGTGAATTAAAAATTATAAAATGAATTTGTAACGTAATATTATTTTATTTACATTGCTGCAATTGTAGGATCAAGATGCCAATTGATAAATTTGGAGGACATATGCTCCGCTCAAAAAAGAAGGACACTGCTGCAATCTTCAGTACTTTTATAAGATCCAACCTATCCAGCGTATGTGTGGTACCCATTTATTCCTCCACATCCAGCGAGCAGTTTTACATATTTAACGACAATTGCAAGGACTATATCGTTCCTGTGACTGGGATAGTTGATAATATAAATGTTCCGCCAAAAGTAAGAGGGACAATTGGTTTAAATAGTCTCACCGGCAACACACCTCTCACGAAAGATGATATTCTCCATTTCTTCACATCTAAAGAACCCAGACCAGAGCAGCTTATAGCAAATATTGTAATGCGCTGCCCATTGATACAACAGATCGACTTTAAAAATCAGGTTGTTGAAGAACTTCATAAACCAGCTCGCCGAAATTATAGACGTCGGCGCGTTATTGTGAAGGGGGTCAACGATCTCCTGCAAGTATGACAAATGTACCTCTATTTTCTCCAATGATTTCTATAGCAAACTTTTTTCAATAAAACACTCTACGTAATACAGGGTGCGGCAGAGAGGATGGACGGTTTTAAAAAAATCATAAAACAGTTAATTTTTACTCGAAAACAAATTTATTGGTGGAATCAGGTTCACAAGGAAATAGCATTTTAGACAGTCAAGTGTGGAAAATCACATCAGGCATGTGGTGGCCGAAATCGTTGATGCAGTGCTGGAGGTGTTCTTGGAAGTTCGCGTAGACTCTCTCCAACATCGCTCTCTCCACTTGGGCGACTTCCACGCGAATTTCGCCCTTCAATTCGTCCAGAGTTCGGGGCTTGTTCGCGTATACTCTAGCCTTGAGGTGTCCCCATAAGAAAAAATCGGATATGTATAAATCTGGGGACTGAGGAGGCCAATGAACATCGCTAAACCTGGAAATAAGGCGACCAGGGAAGAGAGGGCGAATAACGTCCATGGATGCTCGGGCTGTGTGGGCGGTCGCCCCATCCTGCTGGAACCACACACGTCGGATTGGAATACGTCGCCGTCGTAATTCAGGGAGAAAGAAGTTGGTGATCATGTCGACGTAGCGCTTTGAGTTCACGGTAACATCACGACCATTACCGTCTTCGAAGGAGTAAACCGTGACTTTTGGCCTGTACAGCGGTATTTCGTGTAACTGTTGCGGATTTTCATTAGCCCAATTACGACAATTCTGCTGGTTAACCATGCTGTTTAGGTGAAAGTGGGCTTCGTCACTCATAAACAAAATGAGGTTCTCATTTTGATCGATCAGTGCTTCCATCTCACGTGCGAAGTTCATTCGTTGTGCATAATCTCCGGGCTGTAACTGTTGCACAATGGCCAATTTGTAGGGGTGAAAGCGGAGAATTATTATGCAAAATTCGCCTTACCGAACGATCACTAAGGCGAAGTGCAGCAGCATGTTTCCGGGCAGATCGAGTCGGACTGCGAAGAAAGACCTGTCGAACGCGTTCAGCATTTTCAGGAGTTCGAACTGTTCGCGGCGCTCCTCTTGGTCTTCTGTTGATCAGATCACCATGCCTGCGAAGTGATTCAACCCAACAAAGGATGGTGTTTCGAGAGGGAACAGCTCTATTCCGATGAATGAATCTATGTGCTTGGTTGGTACATCCTGGACGAGTGTGGTAAAATATTTTTGGAACTCCTGAGTTTTCAGCATATTCATCGTATAGGCAATCAGCGGGGCTAATTGAAATAACTTCAATACGGTCTATTTTTACCCAAATAAACTACGTTACTCCCCCGATCTTCAATTTTGATGGTTTGAAAATCTGGAAATCTATCAAAGCTGATACAGAAGGAGTTACCTTGGATCGGATGGAAAATATCATCACTGAAGAAAAAATTGGTTATAATGCCTTCTTGATTCAATGCTTCATACCAGTCTTCTTCATTTAACGTAACGCCCTCGGTTTTTAAACCCTTGATATTGATTACAGGTTTGAAGTTCCAGTGATATGCTCGCCCAATCGTGATCCATTTTGATTTAGATGGATTTAGATGATAGCGTTGCCCCTGGATGACAATTAACGGTGGCTGAGCCACACCACTTTGTACAGATCGTACCCCCTTGTCGTTCTGCACATTTGCAACGTGTTTGACACCTCCAGCACTACTCATGTTGTAACACTATGTGAAATGTAGAAGACTGGTATGTGATGCTGAGTAGCTACTTTTATACAGTGTCGATACTCCCTCCACTCACAAACACTCCCCTCCCAAAAATTGGCTCAGGTGCAATTGAAAATGATACTATCATTCATGCAGATATATTTATTTATGATATATTTCTGTCATACAACACAGAAAGACACTCAAACATGCAACATAATCTTCAAATTTGGTGGATGGCCATTTCACACCACATGGTCCAGAACTCCATCCTAGTGACTTATCTCCAATGTTACCTTTGGCTACGTTTTTCTTTAACCATTTAAATACAGTATAATGTCTTATCTTATTTTCTATATGAAATACAAATTTAATATCATGCTGCTGTATCACATCGATTAGACTCTTCAGTGATGCACAATCAGCCAGATATGCGATTTTACATGTGGTTTCATCGATATGGGATACAGTGTCTTTATACCTCTTAGTAATATTTTCTACAGGATGTGGTTGATCTACATCTTCATAGTTACTGTCAGAAAACAACTTACACAAATTGTATTGTTCATATGCAGATGGTGTGCAGTGCATGTCCGCCAGCAGGTCTCCAAATTCTTTGATGCTTAAAACCTCACAACCTGTATCCTTTAGACTTGGTAGCGTTTCCTGTACCACCCAGTCAAGATGTTTCTTTCTTGTTATTACACTGGAAAGCACATCGGGATGGCAACTATCTGCATTTGCAATCCAGTTGAATACTTCGTCGGGTACTGTAATTTCCTCCAGTACAAAACTCAGCACTGGAAATTCTCGTTTTTCTGGATTTTGAGACACAAACTGTCGGAACTGTTTTTTCAACACCTCTTCAGTTACATGACATAATTGCATGAACAGTGAATAGTATGTCTTGGTACTCATCTTTAAAACTGAAGAAGGTGAGTGGGTAAAGCATATATTTATATTCTTGTCCCCACCACAAAGCTCTAATTTCTGATCATTTCATCGGATCACTAGTCAGCTCACTGGCTTCGTTCATTAAGTGCAGCAAGAGGTCCAGCCGCTCTTCGTCCGACATGTTATGAAAGGTGATATCTTGATGACCCCAAGCTAATGTCTTTGTTGAGTTTGCTATCAAGAAACGTGTATCATCCATACTGGTCAATGCCACTTTTCTTAGATAATTTGTATATACAGGGTGACTTTCAAGTTGAGTCATTAATTTTCAGATAATGATTGTAGAAGGAAGATAAACCAAAATATGTGTGTAAAAATAAAAAAAAATTAAAAAAAAATGTTACCTTGTTTTATAAAGTATCCTCCCGACAAGTATTTCAGTGCGGACCTGTATTTGATCGTGCGGTCTTGGAGCACCGGCATGCCCTCCCCTGTGAGGTCTTAAGTCACCTGATTCACGAGCCCTTTGTACTACATTAACAAAGGCACGAGGGGTTGGTTGCACTCGATTGGGAAACCGATCCGCATAAATCCGTGATGCCGCGTAAATAAGAATCATGTCCACAAATTCAGCATTTTCGTAAACATGTGCCATTTTTGATTTCGTTTGAGCCACGCAACAGACACCACTATTCACTCACGCGTTACCGACTGACACTGACTGTATACAACTGAATAAAATAATTGTAAAAACATCGTTCCAAATTCATTCGCTTTTTTGTTTCCGATGCGATGAACCGATAAGGCGGATTATATCCGTTGTTGCCAAACACGAGCACAATATTATTATAGAGACAGGGCGGTACTCAAACTTCCAAAGGGCTATAATTTTGTTACTTTAATTTTACCAGAAAAATGGTAAAGGAAAAAAACATTTCTTTTGATCAGATCTACTCACTGTTAAAATAAATGACTCAACTTCGAAGTCACCCTGTATATTGTGCGACTGCGATTTAAATACATAAATCGTACAGTACACAGATGTCCGTTTCTCCTCAACAATATCCTTATAATGTAACAAATGTAATTGATGTTTCACACTCGCCTTAGATATACCTTTGGCTCGTTTAGCCACTTGATCTACAGCATCGATACAGTATGCTGTGGGACCTGTACCATAAAAGGCAGACAGTACCTTGCCACCATATTCATCTTTCATCTTACCCAACTCTGATGCTGTTCGAGGCATGTTATGTGGGTTGTCCGCATCATAATTAGATGTGTCAAAGTAATGCATGTGTGATTTCATGTCTTCATAGAAATTATCGGCTTCAACATGTACTATTAACGAATCAGTGTCCGTGTATGCTAACGACACCTTATCACTATATTGGTGCTTCAGAAAGTTATAGAAAAAGTCATATATTACCGTTTTTGAGACATCTAAAATACAAAATCCAACATATGTGGAACGGCAATAATCAATCATTGTTTTTTCCTTTTGAATAGCTACTAAGTTTTCAGAAAATATTCTGTGTGCTTTAAAAGTTGATTTACTGATGTAATTTTCAGCACCTATTTTGTGTTTCGATTTTTGAAATTGAATCGCTAATTTGATATCGACTCTGTTCTCCATGTTTTCAATCGTTTTGCCAAATATACAATTGATCATTAGTTTGAACAAATCTCTTTCAAACGGATTCAGTGCTGTATTTCTAAGTGCCGTGTTTAACCGTATATAGGACTTTAACCACGCTGCTTGTGTGAATTTGATACCTCTATGAATTTTCGTCAAGATAATACCATGTTTCAAACATTGTTGATTACGATAATGGATAATGTAGCGCTCTTTGATGTGTAAATTTGGAATTAATTTTGAGCTTTGACTGTTGGGTGGATTAAAATTTTCTGGACAAAATGGTAAATCATTGAAATAATCATGAAGCTCATTCGGTATTGTTAAATTAACTTCTAATGCATATCCAATATCCGATGTATCTGAAATTTGTGTAATTGTTTCTTGAATCCTATCCATCTCATGTTGCGTTAACCAAGCAAAATGACCCGTCGGTAGGTACTGCTGCATAGTATATCCATACAAATTCGTCACATCAAGGTACATTAAGTACGATGATCCCTTTGATGGATCGTAATGAGGTAAAAATTTATTGTTCGCCTCGACTTTCCGTGAGGTACATGTGCTGACTCCTCCGCGGATCCCCTTTTTAAAAAAATGTACCATATCCACATCTGTAAGCAGCTCTAACTCTACTTTAGTATATCGTAGCATTGCATCCCAACTCAAACCAGGGGCTGTAAAATAGTGAGCTGGATCCAGCTTGTACGTTTTTAAACACAAATCTCTAAAATTTTCAAAGATATCTGTTAAAAGAAGAACATCCAAAGTCAAGTAAAAGTTCGAGTATTCCCCCAAATTTTTACACCCCATTACTTCCCAAACATGATGTGCCCGCTCATAATCCTCGTCTGCAATGTGTTCATCACGTATTCCGTCATAAAAGTCTTGTTGGGATGGTAAACATGTTTCATTGTATTTATCAAATGTTTTAAGATATGTATAGGGAAATATACCTTTACATCTCATGTAGGAGAATCTTTCGTCCTCGATAAAAACTTTTCGTACTGTCCGACATTGCTCTGCGCTTAAAAAGGATGCCAATGTTTCTAATTTTGACGAAAGAAACTGATATGCATCGACAAATCTCTTTTGAAAAATACGGTTTTTTGTTTTCCCTCTTGGGAAATGTACGTGGTCTACCGGTTCTAATTTCGTAAATGACACATATGTTTCAAAGAATTGTGGAATCACTTTAATTTGTTCTTGATTCATAGCTAAGTGTTTTATGAATAGATGAGCGTCATATTTCTGCAGATTGTGGAAAAATATTGGAATATAGTCCGGAGTCTTACAATTGAGATTACATTTACTATGCGCCGCACCACGATATTTCCCTGTGAAATGACAGTGATCCCTAACTTTTATATTTGTATTGGTGAATGGTTGTTCACAAATGAAACATGACTCTGCTTTATTAAACGAAGCTTTATCGTACGTAGTCACTTTCATTTCTACATTTTGTGTTAAATATTGATAATATATTAATTTAAGATCAGCCTCTAATCGAGTAACAAAAATTTGTGTTGCATCCTCACCCCTATATAGTTCTAATTTGGATAGTGAATCATTAAATGAGCATTTGATGTAATAAGCAAATGAGGATGGTTTATGTTCATACTTTCTGATGGTACATACATCCTCTGAATCGCCTGAGTCATTTTCTATCGGAGCTAGAATGCATTCAAAGTCGGCATACACGCAAAATGGTAGCCTTAATTGTTTGTGATGCTGTTCAAATTTTAGTACATTATCCATTACCGTGTTTCCAAGTCGATCAACTCTCGTTTCCAATTTTGGAAGCTTAACTGAAATACATTTGCAATAGGTTCGCATGTGAATTTCTAATTTTTCTTTTGGGGCAAAGTATTGTAAACACCCATTACAAAAGTGCTTTACTCTCGTATTCCGCGACAACTGACTTGAAACGAGTCTTGAAAAGTTGGTAATTAAGCAGTACTGATGGTTTCCTTCTGAATCATCAATAAGTAATAAGTTTTTGCGCGATGTAATGTAACGGTCCCACCACCTTATATTTGGGCTTCCCATCAATGAATTCCTTTTCTAATCCATAAACGTTGATTGATATGTTATTCACGCTTTTAAATTCTGATATTGACTTGAGAGCGACTGGAAATGTCATTCCAGCAAATTTTAAGCCCGGAACATTCGAAAAATGTGGATATGACGTTGTTAGTGATGATCGACCTTTTGGTTTTACCATACCAGCTACAATTGACCATGCAAAGCAGTACTCATCCTTATTACGTATATTGAGTACAGCTTTGTTGTTCCTAATTTCCTTTGGAATCGGCAAATATGATGCTGCTCTCAAAGGATTATATTTATTAATATTAATTTCTAAATATAAAATCTTTTCTAACACCCACCCTGAGTCTTTTTCTGCATTCTGATTTTTGTTCTATTTTACTTCCCAAATCATGATAGATGGCTTTTAAATTTGATGATTGTGTTATGATTACATTGTTTGTATTGTGGGACTTCACCTCTCGTCCAACCAAAAACCAAAAAGTTTCATATGTATTTTGAGCGTTGTTTGCTTATACAATTCATTTTCAATCACGTTTATGGAGTCATTTTCGAGATTATTCATATATTCAGTATCGTTCAAAGTGTCTATTCTAGCGGTTATTTGATAACTGACTATTCTACCCCGAAATGCACTTCGACATACTGACACATTATTGTGTAAAGGTGTCCATAGATTTGCCTTATGTTTGATGCTTTTCAGATGTGCTGCATGTGCATTCCTCGGTACCTCACAGTTGCAACTATCACAGAGAATTGTTCTGCTTTCCGCACTCGTCTGTGAGTCGTTGTTGGTGGTTGGACTCATTCGACTCGGTTCCGGTACTGCACCGTTGGCTGTTGAAGGATCCAGTCGTCTGGTATTGAGTCCTGTGGTAGTCTGGGTGATACTAGCTGTAACAATAAGTTCATAAATATAAGATATTTAATTTGGCTTAGTTGTTTGTAACCTTACCTTCTACACGTTGTTGTTCGGGTGGACTCTTCTCGCTTGTGCAGACCTCTCTACCATGTCGCAGTAAACCTTTAGGTGCCGAGAATTTTTGCTGGCATCGAGAACATTCCCACTTGTCTGCAGTGCTGCGTGAAGCGGTTGCATTACACGGACACTTGGATGCGGGCTCCCCATCCTGGCTGCACCGCTCTCTACAGTGTCTCAACAAACTTTTCCTCACTGTGAAGGTCCTTTGGCATTTTGGACATTGGAACATTTTGTTGTGAGGCGTGCACGTATCTACTGTGTTTCTAACACCTAAAACATTTTTATATACAGGGTGACTTTGAAGTTGAGTCATTAATTTTCAGATAATGATTCTAGAAGGAAGATAAACCAAAATATGTGTGTAAAAATTAAAAAAAAAAAATAAAAAAAATTTTACCTTGTTTTATAAAATATCCTCCCGACAAGTATTTCAGTGCGGACCTGTATTTGATCGTGCGGTCTTGGAGCACATACCCTCCCGTGTGAGGACTTAAGTCACCTGATTCACGAGCCCTTTGTACTACATTAACAAAGGCACGAGGGGTTGGTTGCACTCGATTGGGAAACCGATCCGCATAAATCCGTGTTGCCGTAGCAGCATTTTGTAAAATAAGAATCATGTCCACAAGTTCAGCATTTTCGTAAACATGTGACATTTTTTATTTCGTTTGAGCCACGCAGAAACACCACTCACGCGTTACCGACTGACACATCGAATGAATACAACTGAAGAAAATAAATGAATAAAACATCGTGATAAGCGTTTCAAATTCTTTCGCTTTTTTGTTTCCGATTATATCCGTTGTTGCCAAACACGAGCACAAATTATTATTGAGACAGGGCGGTACTCAAACTTCTAAAGTTGTTACTTTAATTTTACCACAAAAATGTTAAAGGAAAAAAACATTTCTTTTGATCAGATCTACTCACTGTTAAAATAAATGACTCAACTTCGAAGTATTAAGTGACATATAAATCCGAACACCCAGTTTAAATGGTTTTATTTTAATAAAAGTTGGTGAATGTATTTATCTTACTGTAAATAACAAGTGAAAAAATTTTCAGCCTTATCAGTTGGACGTTCCGGTTTTTATACTGCTTTTTTTAATTCACTAACGCTCTAAAAATGAATATTTTAGTAAAGAATCAACGTTGGCGGATTTTGGTTCTTGACATCCTTTACGATCGGTTACGATGCCTAGAGTACGGAGACCTGTACGATTTCGTCAACTTAGTGAGTTTGATAGGGGCCGTATAGTGGGACTTCGGGAAGCTGGACTTTCTTTTCGGGCAATTGCAGTTAGAGTGCAAAGGATTGTAGACACTGTGTGGTTAGATGTTGTCAGGCATGGCTTCGAGAAGGCCGTACGCAAAGAGCAAGGGGCACTGGACGCCGCCGTAGAACAACAGACCGTGAAGATCGCCGCCTAAGATTATTGGCCTTATATCCAGTTCTAGAACCCCATCTTTTACCCTATCTTGACACCCTGGCAGATCCAACTTTCCAACAAGATAATGCCCGACCACATGTTGCAAGAGTCACAATAGACTTCTTTCAATATAATGATGTCACATTGTTACCATGGCCACCAAGATCTCCCGACTTATCCCCAATTGAGCACGTGTGGGATATGATGGGTAGGAGATTGCTCAATTTGCAACGTCCTCCTCAGATTCTAGAAGCACTTCGAGAGGAGTTGGTGGTTGCCTGGAATGAGATACCACAGGAGAACATTGACCACCTGATCACAAGCATGCCTAGGCGCGTTGGAGAATGCGTAGCACATCAGGGTGCATCCACACATTATTAAAGGTCAAAGGGCTTTAAAGCAGTGCAATCATTTTGAAATTTTCATCATTTACTTATTATGCTTCATTAAGTACTTATAGAAAATTTTATTAAAATATAACCATTTAAACTGGGTGTTCGGATTTATATGCCTCTCAGTATATATATACAGGGTGACTTTGAAGTTGAGTCATTAATTTTCAGATAATGATTGTAGAAGGAAGATAAACCAAAATATGTGTGTAAAAATAAAAAAAAAATTAAAAAAAAATTTTACCTTGTTTTATAAAGTATCCTCCCGACAAGTATTTCAGTGCGGACCTGTATTTGATCGTGAGGTCCCCTGTGAGGTCTTAAGTCACCTGATTCACGAGCCCGTTGTACTACATTAACAAAGGCACGAGGGGTTGGTTGCACTCGATTGGGAAACCGATCCGCATAAACATGTGCCATTTTTTATTTCACTATTCACACGCGACTGAAACTGACTGTATGTATAACTGAACTGAATTGTAATCGTAAAAACATCGTTCCAAATTCTTTCGCTTTTTTGTTTCCGATGCGATGAACCGTTGTTGCCAAACACGAACACATGATATTATTGAGACAGGGCGGTACTCAAACTTCCAAAGGGCTATAACTTTGTTACTTTAATTTTACCAGAAAAATGGTAAAGGAAAAAAACATTTCTTTTGATCAGATCTACACACTGTTAAAATAAATGACTCAACTTCGAAGTCACCCTGTATATATATATATTTCTGCACCTCGCGTTCTCCAGTGGCATCTGACACAAAAAAACATTTTAACTGCTGTACATTAATTTGACCTATTTGCAGGCTTCGCTTTTTGTCCCATTTCTACATATAAAGTTCGTCATTTACTGCACACCGTTCCGTTTCGAGTCGTTCTAGTTGCGTGAACGCCAACTCTTCGATCCACGTGTCGCGATTGAGTTGCTCATTCACAACACTACGTTCTGTCGCGTCCCATTCAAGTTGCGTGAACGGCAACTCTTCGATCCACGTGTCGCGATTCAGTTGCTCATTCACAACACAACATTCTGTCGCGTCCCGTTCAGGTTGTGTGAACGGCAACTCTTCGATGTAGCTGTCGCGATATCGTGCATCGTCCACATCACAGCGATCACTCGCGATCGCGGCAGACACCAATGGCTCTTGCTGTGTTGAGGTGGCTCTCGACATGGATGGCATTGGCTGATCTCCCAACCAACTCATCTTAAACGATGGAAAAGCATTGTATGCATTCATCGTTGTAGACAAATCAATCTCCGGTTTGATGGATGCTAACACTGCCTCAATATCGATCTCATTTGAGGAGTTCTGTTGACTTTGGGCGATGTAATTGTTAAGCATGGTTTGCGACCCCATGCTAACAATTTCGATGGATAACTCATCATTCCCCGAAGTACTAGCCATCGTTTGCGGGTGTGCGTTCAGCGAAGGGTCAACGGTTTCGTGTGGTGGTACAACTTGAACATTTTGCAATACCCGTACACGGGGCCTTAATAGTTTGTCCAGAATCAGGCGCTGACTGTTCGTAAATGCGCAGTACGGGCACTTCTTCTCCAAAGTACACAGACACGGTCTTGAACACATGTCTGCAATTGAACAAAGAACACAATGTTAAAGACTGATGCTTTCAACCTGAAGTGTTTGGACTGCAGTGACAGGTACGACCATGAGCACTTATATACAAGCATTTCCTCTCCTACCTCACTTTCACGGATTCTTCCGTTCCACTTTCACGATTTCTAGCATGAATTAACAGTCAAGATTTATTACTTCATTAAAGTTTACTAATCGCGTTTAATTTTTACATTTATTATCCAATGCTAATTTCGTGACCTCGACTTTCATCCTTAAGAATATACTACCCACCCATACTTTCTTTGTCCGTTATAGCATCATGACCTCGAATTCTCACGATCTTGTGACGGAGGAGAAGAGCATATATACTTACTATAGTGGTCTTTCCATTCCGTCGCTCCCCAGTCATCGTCATGGATGGTCAGGATCCAAATGATCCGTATATCTTCCATGAAGATGGGTTGGCTAGTCCACTCCTCTTCGACAGCACAGCCTCTACCGTAATTGCGGGAGGTGCTGCACCCGATGTTGGCAATGCTTTGTTAGACGACGTTGTCGACATCGAAAATGAGAGGGTGGGCGCGGGGGAGGCATCTTCGTCCGAGAGCGATTCTGAGGTCGAGCTTGATGAGCTCCACGTCGGCCTTGCTGCTCTTGACGACCCACCTGAGGTTGCCATTCCTGAAGCATTTCAGGGTGACAATCTCGTGTGGGATCTGGACGATCCAACTAGCGATTCGGGGTATATCAGCCCCTAATGTGTATTAGTTTTAAGGAGTTAGCTTTAAGGATTTAGTTTTAAGATTTTATTTGTAAGGTTGTAGGTTTTAATGATTCTGTAAAGTATATTAGCTTTAAGATAATAACACCCAACCCAATTCACGTTTTTCACTCTAATTTCTCTTAAATGACCGATTTTTGAATTTTTTAGCTATCTGTCTTGCTTCTACAACCTTGCACTCATTATTCTCTCAACTTATCCACAAATTTTTTTTTCCTTCACTTACCTTCACACTCGATCTCCTTTTCCTCCTAACTTTCCCATTTTCTTTCTTCGGCTACAATACAGATGCTTGCCTCCCAGCGGAATGTTGTCACACTTACGTATACTATTCGATGCTATTCGCCTTTCGCAGTACAAACACTTTGCTAAGTTCTTACTATGTATGTGGAGCTTATTCACATATCCGTCGCATATACTAAATAGCGCATACCTTGCTCCTATGATACACCTCTCACATACTATTGATCCCATCATTGTGGTACCGATGTAGTAATATTGCTGACAACGGTCTTCGCTCCATTCTACACCCCTCGCATAAGTTTCTTGACACACGCTCCATTCTACATATGCATTACTTATTACACTTCTTTGATATATCAATTCATATGGATATCGCACTCTATATCCATCTTGCAGCTCACTCCATTTAATTAGGAATCCATTCCCTACTGACATTACTTCTATGGCGAGTCCCGGTTCCAACACCAATAATTTTCGTCATCCGTTTCGAAGATCCACCCTATTTTATGGGGACGGTGTTGAGTACACGTCCAACAATAAACTAAAAAAGTCTCGCAACAACACCACCTACGAATCCAGCGAAACTCCTTTGCATGCTCCAACAGTTTCTCCGTTTGACAGACTAAACACCTACTTTTCTTCGCCAATATTATATTCTGCATCCCACTAGTACCGTACCATTTGCGCCACTCGCAACTACAGAACTGACTTCTCTCGGTGAGTTCCACAATTTAAGCATATATTTCCAAGGTCATCCCTTCTACATCTCAAGGTCGTTCACTCCTACAAGGTCACACCCACTCAAGGTCGAGAGTGCTCGAGGTCATATATGTTCAAGGTCACACTTCAAGATTACATTTCAAGGTTGGCACCGAAAGTCAGCTCTCAAGGTCGTTTGGCACCGAAGGTCGGCGCTCCCTTCTACATCTCAACGTCGTTCACTCCTACAAGGTCACACCTACTCCAAGTCGAGAGTGTTCGAGGTCATACATGTTCAAGGTCACACTTCAAGGTCACTCGGAAACTCAAGGTCACACTTCAAGATCACATTTCAAGGTTGGCACCGAATGTCAGCTCTCAAGGTCGTTTGGCACCGAAGGTCGGCGCTCCCTTTTACATCTCAAGGGCGTTCACTCCTACAAGGTCACACCCACTCCAGGTCGAGAGTGCTCGAGGTCATATATGTTCAAGGTCACACTTCAAGGTCACTCGGAAACTCAAGGTTAAGTTTAAAAGTCACACTTCAAGGTTACGTTTCAAGGTCACATTTCAAGGTTGGCACCAAAGGTCGCCGCTCAAGGGCGTCCCAGAACATACAAACCCTATCTACTATCATGTACATCACCAGGTACTCCCCCAAGATTACTAAGTGAAACTGCTAATCTTCGTATTCGCAGAATCGCTGAACCTCAGGGAATGGATGAAGAGCAGCAGATGAAAATGGAACTCATGGAACAGCTCTCTTCAACAAACAAAAATAGGAACATCGAAATACTAAGATAAATGAGCTAACAGCTAGGCTAGTTCAGTCACATGAATACAGAGCTGCCGACAGATCAGAGGTAATTGACATCCCTATCAATTACTCCACCCTCTGACGTGTGAACCATGTTGCCATTCTCAGAGTTCAGACATTATGAAAAATCAAATAAATATTATCGGTGAACTAAATCATACATTAAGAGAATTTAACCGGAACACTGAGAAATGTTAATCCCAAATTATATTTTAAATCTACTTATGGATTAACTAAAAAATGTCTTTGAATGTTTGGCCAGTATTGGTTTTCTGGTATATTTTCCAAAGTAGCGCCACACTCCGCACCAACTCCACTTAAAGCAGTAGACGGGTTGTTCTTCGTTACTTGGTTTTCTGTCGAACATATCTTCTTCAAGGCCACTCAATGAACCTTCCTTTATAAATTTAGGTGTTTTTGTATCAGTCACTTTCCTACTGAGGTTGTGGTGTGAGCGCCATTTTGTTCAATCTCCAGATTCTGGGATCTAAGGTGCCGAACACCAGTTAGTGGAGTAGTACCCCTTCATATGTTTAGTTGTTTTGGTTTGGGTGCTACCCGTTCCATTTTCTTCTGGGATTTCAATCTTCAGCGGTGAGCCTTTTTTTTCTCTTATACCATCAGACCACATGCATTAATGCATGTCCTGAAGAAGTTTGTTCAATATCTGCTTAGTTGCAGTTATAATTAGATATAAGAAGGAAGGAGCTGCCAAAGACCTGGTCGTCTGTTCGGCATACATTCCTTACGATTCAAGGGAACCTCCTCCGTCTAAGGAACTGGGGGACCTTTCCGCAAATTGCAGGGATTCTGGACTCGAACTCGTGATTGGATGCGACAGCAATGCTCACCACGTCATGTCGGGCAGCTCGAACACCAACACACGAGGCGAAGACCTCATGAAGTTCCTAGGGTCATCGAACGTTCTGAATGACGGTAACAAGCCTGCTTTCAGTAACAATATCAGAGAAGAGGTTATCGACGTAACACTGAGTACGTTCAATTTAGCTCAGAAGATTAGGGACTGGAAAGTGTCTCTAACATCCTCTCTATCGGATCACAGAGATATACTGTTTAAGACTGATGGAGAGATTCCAGATAAATATGCTCGGAATCCTAGGCATACTAACTGTGCGTCCTCTAGGGCAGACCTTGATAGTAAGCTTAGAGGGGTCCCATGCAGCCTTTGTAGGGGTTCTGATATTGAAACAGCCGTAGAGTCTCTGAGCAGGGACTTGGCTGCTTCGTATGAGGAAAACTGCCCGTTACGCAAAGTTCAAGGTAGAAGCAAGGCAACCTTCTGGTCTAAGGAATTAGAGGACAGGAAGCGAGCTGTGCACAAACTTCTTGGAAGAGTTAATTAACCACATTAGAAGGTGTCCTCAATGGGAAGACGACAAGAAGGCGTTGCAGGAATACAAAAAGAGATTAGAAGAACTTCTGTCAGTCGATAAAGGACATTCCTGCTACAGCTAGAATACACAGAATCCTAAGCAAAGACACTAGAGCAAGATTAGGATCTCTGTCTGATCCCTTGGGAGGTAGTACTACTTCCGAGGAAGGTACTCTAAGGCTTCTGAGAGATACGCACTTTCTCGGTTTCACAGTGGCGCGGTCAATCACAGAGTGCATGCAGTTGCGCAGGCCCTCAAGGGAGAACTGGCGCACTGCAAGCGAGATAGTTACCTGCGAAAGGATGGTATGGGCCATCCATTCGTTTGCTCCATACAAAAGCCCGGGTCTCAAAGGGGTATTTCCGGCCATGTTATAGCATGAGCGGGATTCGGTTGTTTCTTACCTGTTGAAGGTGTTTCGAGAATGTTTGGCCACGGGCTTCACACCTAGAAGCTGGCGGTAGGCTAAAGTGGTATTTATTCCTAAACCGGGTAGAGCTAGATACACTGGCCCGAAGGATTTTCGTCCGATTACCCTTTCATCTTTTGTGCTTAAGACTTTGGAAAGGATAGTCGACAGATTTTTGAGGGATGGCCCGCTAGAGAGGTGTGGCATTCATTCCAATCAGTTTGCATACCAAGCTAGGAAATCGACTGATCTGGCCTTACACAATCTGGTCGGCAGGCTGGAGAAGACTCTAGGTCAGCGAGAAGTGGTGCTTGTGGCCTTTCCGGAGAGGTTGGCTGCAGCGTCAGCGTAGCTCGAGGCTGCCCACAGGCACGGGAACTCATTGCAGGGCCCAACGCTAAGGATGGACATTTTTGCTAGAGCCAACCTAAGACTGCTGGTGGGACTGTTGTCCGGCCATAACATGTTAAGGTGCCACCTGCACGTGATTGATGGGGGTGGCTGAGGCTTGTGTGAGCGCTGCGGGGCAGAAGAGGAGACCTCGGCGCACGTTCTATGTCGCTGCGAGGCTCTTAACTACTACAGGCCGACTATACTGGGGTCTCCAACACTTTGGACCCCGAGGACGTTAACGAGCTTGGACTCAAGGTCATACCAAACTTCGCTAGAATGGCGAGGCTTGAGGTCTAAAAAATGTGGAGGTGCACAAGGGCCGGTTTGAGTGGCCTATGCACTGGCTCCTTATCGCGGCCGGTATGCCTCTAATATCGTGTTTCATTCATTCATTCATCAGTCACTTTCCTACTGAGGTTGTGGTGTAAGCGCCATTTTGTTCAATCTCCAGATTCTGGGATCTAAGGTGCCGATCACCAGTTAGTGGAGTAGTACCCCTTTAATCTTCAACGGTGAGTCTTTTTTTTCTCTTATACCATCGGACCACATGCATTAATACATGTCCTGAAGAAGTTGGTTCAATATCTGCTTCCTTTTAGAGGGACACATCACGGAGAACCACCAAACACCAGCTTTGCTCGTAGCTGCTTTGCGGCCGGAATTGCCTGAAGCCACCCCTTCCCCTTTGCAAAAAACCCTGATGTGAACATGTAAAACATCATTTTAATTAACCATTTTATAGATATTACTTATATATCGATTATTGCTGACTGAAAGTCTTAGAGTTTACTTGATTTTGTTTGGCATTTTACGTATTCATAATGGGGCAGTGCCTACATGGCACCTTCAATTGGGCATTACATTACGTTGATCATGATCTTGATTTTTGAGCAATCATAGCTTTATTTTAGAACAAGGGATAAATGTCTGAGGGTATATCACTTTAGTAAATTGTTATATTTTTCTTTTTTTTTAGCTTTGATATACTTTTCTTGCAATCAGTAGTTTTGTCTTAGACAGAG